CTAGAGTAACGAGATATGGCGCAATCTCTCTCACCTTCCTCAGCGGGAATGTACGTGCATACGGGCTTACATCATACTGATTACGAGCAAACCATTCAAAATTGAAATTATAGACCTCTACAACTTTACGGTAAGTACGAGCATAATCAGCATTTCCTACAGAAATGCGGGCGGAAATTTAAAGGCATCGAATCTTGACCTGAGCATCTCCAACTTCCATACTTACTCGAAAGTGCTTCAATTTATACTACACATATACTAAAATACCCTTTACATTCTTCTGCTTCCCTGACCCCTGTGAAAACAAAACTTTTCCTTTCGTTCAAAAGCGTTTTCCTTATTCAAGTCTCACCCAGTTTCGAAACGATTTCAAGTGATAAAAAGTTGTATTATTCGATACAATGCCTTCAAGGTCACAATTTAATACAACCCTCATTCAGTTTTGCATCTTTTTGTGCGTTGCTTCTATCAGTAATGGTCACAGTCAAAGCAATCACTTTTCCAGGGTCGAAATTTCACGCATTCTTCTCCACGTGCCACTGTGCTACTAGTGACATCAAAGTAGAATAATGACAGTAATAAAACCCAAAAGTACGGATGACTCCTATTTTCGGGGTAACAATTGAAATTGCCCCCATTTCTAGAGTTTCTGAGGGTAGGAAAAAGCTAAGAAAGCGTCAATAAGCAACACAATGTAGATATAAAAACAATTGAGTGTCACTTTTGCTGTCCAATACAGGCTGTCATCAAGTCTATTCTGCTGCAAGCTGTTTCCCTTCGAAAAAATGCTGAAGTACCGTAAACGTTAGTTTGAACTAGTCTGGTTGAGCCACATGAACTTCAGTTCCACTTTGGGTACACCTAGAAGCAACGTATATGAGAAGAACGTGCATAATTACAGAAGAAAGTGCTCTAAGTGACACCCTTGGCCAATACAACTAGCTCAAAATAGACCCATACAAATAAAGGTTCTTTTGGCACCATTTAGGAAGGCGCAGACTAGTGAAGAAAACCACTGGAGGGCAATAAACATCGTCGGCTGAAAGTTGCGGAATTTCTGTTGGGCGAAAGTACGTGAATGACATTTGACTATTTTGGACAAAATAGGCTGCTGTCTTGTGCCAAATATTACAAGTTCAAAAGATTTTTTTGATTGGGCTTGCCGCAGTAGATAATCGAAAATCCGAATTCTCACCTGTTTTACAGAAAGTTGATACCAAAAATAATTCTAGAACAATTCTCATTATTTATGACCAACATTTGGTTGTTGACTTTAATCTCCATCAAAAAAGAAAAATCTGAAAATTACCTCAGTCACCAAGTAAATTTACAGCAGCATTGTGAATTACACCTTCAAACACACAAAAAATAAGAAAAAATTGGCCATACCAAGCAAGGACTGACAAGGGAAAGATGGTCAGTCGAAGTGGCCTTTTGCGATGACTTATATACCATATTGGAGAGCATGAAACGCTGATTTAAAATCTGTCTTCCTTATCTGCGGCGCGTTCCTGCACGAGAAGTTATGAGCGTATATTTAAGAAAAAATTAAATGTGCAAGTAATATCAAAAACAATAGCAACATTATTCCTAGCCTTCAAATGGACCAGCGGTAATTTTTTCACTCTATAAAATAAGTATTCTTAGGTGACATATATCCGCACTCCGGCTTTCTCATTCAAGCGTTGGGAAAATAATAGCAACTGTTTTTATCCCACAAAAACGCTTACTTTTTTGCTCCTTTAAGAGCTCATTACTCCTCGTCCAGGAACGTGCCGCAGATGAGGAAGAAAGACTTGGAATCAGCGTTTTATGCCCTCCACCAGGGTGTACAATCCATCTCAAAAGGTCACTTCGACCAACCATCCTTCCCTTGTGAGCAGGCTGATTTGATTAAAATGAAGTTACTAAAATCTTTTAGAGTTATTCTATAAGCTGTAAAACACTAACTTTGCTGAGCCAAAACCGATTGTGAGGCTAGTATTTATGAAGACAAAATTATTATTGGTCTGACTTTTAGGTGAGAAAATTTTCAGATAATAGAGGAGACAACCGGATTGTAGAAAAAAGCACAGCAGGGAGTTTCTAGACAAAAGCAGAATAAAAGTGATAGACTTTTTCCAAGAAAATATAATGGTATCGTCGATTCATGACACGTAAAGACTGGGCGCCGTTGCGTCCGACGGAGGTAGTTTGTGTTTAGGAGAGACAGCAGACGGTAAAAGAAACGAAAGAGCGCTCGATCACGGAGACGCAGATATGTCCGCAGTCTTTACGTGCTATGAATCGTCTATATATGAAATAGAATTTTTGTGATTGAATCTCGTAGTAAAAACATTGAAGCAGGGGCGAAAGCGAAAGCGTCTGTCATGACAGTATTTTGCGCAAACTTATACTAAAAGCATCAGTTTTTTTTTCACTATAATTTTAATCCCTTTTTCCATAATAATTGTCATGTTCATGGTTTAGATAGACGTAACAGGCTCTATCTTAATTTACATAATTTCTTATTACGAACTTTCAGACAATGTCTATGTTTGTATAACATACGCAAACAAATCTGCGTGTGTTATCCAAATACATGAATATTCATTCAATAGATGTAAAGAAAGTAGCTTTAGAGTTATTGATCGTAAATCTTCATTCAAAGCGACGATTCATGATTAATGCCCAAGATTTTCTAGTATTTTACATGTTAAATGTTTAGGACATTTCAGAATATATTGAGCCATTTTGAAAGTATTGTCGCTTTTTTCAAGTGAACGCTACACAAGGCGGAAGAAAGCTTTCCCTAAAATCTTGGCATTCTAAGTAGCATTTTATCCCCTTTCTATTAGTTATAAAATTGCAGCACAGCCAATGACTTTTCAGAAAATCAAAAAAACCAAATCTTTGACCCAAGCTTCTTGAGAAAATCAACTTACACAGTTTTTCTAATCTATATCAACCCTCCCAGTCCAAGTAACTATCCATATAGCTAATCCTACAGGATTCAAAACAATTTTGCTCTTCCATGGCTCATAATACTTTCTTAATAGAATTGTAACTGATGCTACCAATTTTCGTGCCTGGTCAACTAAAACCGTGTAGAACATCAAAGGGAATGCTGCTTGGGTGCTATTCGATGCAGCTTTTTCTCCTCTTTCTAATGGATGTTCCTTGCTCCGATTCGTGGAAATTTCAGGGATAAAATCATCAAAATTTATGTTTTTGGGCGCGCCCTAGGGTGCTCGAAAAACTCGAAATTTGGTATTTCAAAACAATAAACCCTCATTTGCTTTGTAAAATTAGTACCAAATCATGTAACCATCTTGGACCATCTTTCAAATTCCAAATTATTGGTGTTTGATTTGATGGATGACCTAGGCCTGCCAAATCCGATGGTTTGAAAAGGAATTTTTAAAAAAATCATAGCGAGCTTTGAGAAAGAGGAAAAAGTTATACTGTCTTCTTTAGGGTTTGCTCTGTCTATTCATTGCTTGGATTCCTTCGGAAGTTCAAGATAAAAGTTTAGAAAAATTGTCAAATTTGACCATCTCAAAAAGCATGGGTCGTAGAATTTTGGTAAACTTCCGAGGAAGCAACTTTAGAAAGCAGATGAAATGCTGCATTGATTGCTACTGATGATAAGATCTCTTGGAAAGCTTTGTTCCACCAAATGTCGTTCATTAAAAAAATATTGCTTTCGGTGACCTGATATTTATGCCAATATCGTAATGTTACTCATAGAAATATTCTTTTACAAAAGTAAATAAATACGTACCAGAATTTTTCGGTGCCAGGCTGATTAGATCATACACCACTAGCTGCTATAAACTGCTGATTCCAAATGCTTCTTCGGAATTTTTTTTCAATTTTCTAGTAACTGCTGCAATTTCACTCGCAACAGCATGCGTTATTTCCGGTTCAAAAAATCTGAAAAGATCAACCGCTCACATTAGAATCACAATTATGTAATTTAAAAACTTTGAAAAAGTGCTTCCACCAAAACCATCATCAACTGCAATATTTCGCTTCTATGCATGTAGTTGATTTTATGGCAATTTCTTTTGGAAAACAAACTAGCAGTAAACTGGATGGCCCTTACTTATGAGAGCCACTATCCTTTTCTGCAACGAAAATTTTTTGTCCAAATCCTCGCTCGGTTAAACTGCAAAGGAGTGGAAATTGAGTGACGGCTATTTACATTATTACCAATACCAATAATATATGTTCCTCCGATATGTTTTTCAAGCCTTTATCACTCATTCACTGTTGTATTCATACTTTCACAGACGAAATGCGACCGGTCCTTGCGAGACATTTGCCCTATAGGAAGAAATAATAACTATCTTCTGTGGGTGATTCTAATAAAACATTGTTTGCCAATATCATAACATAAAAAGGTGACTCATCTGTAAAGAAAATTCAGGTTCAGGTTGACCATTTTTTCGAAAGTTTACCAGATTACCAGAATGCAGGTTCCAACGAGATCTGAAAGTGTTAACAGGGTAATGTGCTGTTTCTTTGTGGGAATAACAACCCTTACCAGAGCAGTTAAGAAGGTTGTTTCGAGAGTTGAGGTTTTCGCTTACTTACATCTTTGTATGTGTTTGTTTTGGTTAAAGGGAAGTGGTTTCTGTTTCTTGGATGTGCTAGGTAAGAAAGTGAGTTGTTAACGAATACGGTAGCTTGTAGGGTAGCTAGCCCTCCTGGAAGCCCGAACACAAAGCAAAGTGCGTTTTTGTGGAGATTTCAAGAGCCCTTCAAACCCGCTACCCGCATTATTCCGAATTTTTATTGCAAATGCATGTGTCTGCACTTCTTTCTGTGGCAAATAGCTGCTAATAAGTGAAAGAATAAGATAATTAAGGTTGTCTCACCAACAAAACACAGCGGACAGCTTCTTCTTTCCGTTCGCGGTTTGGTTAGACATATTGGACCCGGTCGGGCCCCATGGGCGGGGAGGTAGGCGGAGGCGGGCACTGCCTCTGCGCGGGCCTCGTTGCACTCGTCAGTCTCGGATTCCATCACCGGAGCAATGCGGCTCTACTTGTTCGCTGCTGTTTTACCGGCTCTGATCCAGGCTAAGTCGCTAGCTATAAACTTGGCTAAGGTAAGCTTTGGCCTGGGGTTTAGCAACTTCTTTGGGTGAATCGCGGGTAAAATTGCCGCGTAATCCGCGCAGTCGAGCAAGCGCCCGCGTTGTCGTTATGCGTAAATGGCACGATCTAGTATTGTCAGATCAGCTAGTAATCCATCCGGTTCAGCTACTACAACCACCATAGATTGTCCTCTCGAGTCTAAATGGATTTTTTTGTAGGATTCCCATTGTTCTTTCTCAAATGACGCGCTGAATGTATCGTGGACGTTCGACGCACCCAGCTCCGATGTGGTCTTCAAAATGATGGCTCAGTCGAGATCAGAGAATTTCTGGGCCGGGATGTTCTTAGGAAACGACCGACCGGTAAGGAGAACGAAGAGAACGAACGGCGTGAAGCCAATTTGAAGCACTTGACCTTCAGTCGGAGCAAATTTCGGTAGCGCGAATGCTCTACCTTCCTACATAAGGAAGGTAGAACATTTAGACCATAAATGCAAGATGCAGAGATAAGCGAATCTGATGCTTGTTCCGATGCCGTGTCGGCTAGTTCAAACAATCGTTTCCAGGAAGATTCGATAGGAGCTTTCGTTCGAAATGGACAGATTGGTGTGATGGATGGTTATGTGGTTGATGATCGGCTACTTTTGGACAATATGACAAATCTACAATCGCTCCTGTTCGATTTGCAAGACCATAAACTTACTGCAGAATTTGCTCGACCGCTTACTACGAGCGATATGAACGACAGTGATTTGAGCCAATGCATAGTAAGTTTACAAATATTTTCAGCTCTTATTCACCTCACTCTCCTCCACCCTCATCTGTGAACTTTTTATCAAACAGTTCTTTTATAATTCTGGTCTCTGTAATAGCATTGTGTTCTCACTGCCACAGACAGTAACTAGTTTTCACATTCAGATGAGGGCCTGATATCGCGCTGCCATCGATGCTATCCTGCTGGGGTCAGGCATAGCTTAGTGTGACTGCAATAAATTCTTAACTAAGAACTACTAGTTCGAGAACAATAGCTTGAGAATCTAAACCTGATTTTGACAAAGGCTACGGGTTGTTATCGATGGCTGAAAAGTCGAAAAATCTAGGGTGAACGGGAACGAGAGTAAATTTTTTTTTGTATTTGGGATTTTTCAAAAATAAGCCAAGGATGGCTCATTCAGTCCTTGAAAATAAAATTCCTTTCGTCTTTTTGCCAGCAAGTAAACAAAATAAGTTCCTTACCCTCCCCCTTTCCTTCCTTCCCCCCCTCCCCCCTTCCTCCTCATTCCAACAAACAGGCACCGTTCTACCATTCTACTACCCTCGTTTCTTCCGCCATTCTTGTCCTCATTCCTCCTTTTTGGGTAAATAGAGGTTACCTGAGATGCTTGCCCTAAATAACTTAACTGTAAAAAATGTGTATGGAGTTATCATAACAAAGATGAAGATGGAAGCGATATCGCTATCAAAATAAGGTTAAGAAAAATCTAAAAATTATGGGTATCTAACCAGATCCGACTGTTGATTGACATGGGCTTTATTATTATCATATGAATATCACTACAAATTTAACTGTGTGGAACTAATGTGATAAAAATTTTTAGACAAAGCATTTGATTTTTTAAAGGACATTTATATCATCATTTCATATCGATTTTGTTTGAGCATGACTGCAATCAAAGTAATATGAATCAATATTTTGCCCAAATTGCTTTTTTCTTCGTTGCTATGAATTTTTTCCGCTTCACTGCGCTTTTCACTCAAAACATGCTAGTTTCATTTCACTCTCCTCCCTCACTTAAAAAATCTTACCTCATCGCAGCCATCGAATCTAGTTATGAGATAGGTTATGAATGCATGGCTGAATTTGTCCTTGGTGAAGAACCACCCACCAACGAGATTCACAGTTCACCGATCTCGCAACATCTCGAGCTATAATTGAAAAATTCTTGAGAAAGTTTGGGAAAATTTATTCATAACATTTGCTTCGGGAAATGCTCGGTGTAATTCGTTTTGGCCAAAGTTTGTTCCATTTCGGAGGTCAAACACACTGCCTATTGTGCTCGAAAATGACGACCGGGTCTCGATTTCAAGTCGACGATTTCCTGACCCAGAAGCCTTTTCACCGACCGTTCCACTTAACGTCAAGAACATGTAATATTCCCTTAGTCTTAGTAGTCTAACTGGTTCTTTTACCACTTTGAAACAATGCTTAGTATCATTTAATAGACACTTACGCTACTTAAACTCAAGAATTGTTGTTGAGAACACTTTATAATAATTTTACAGAATGAGTGCCTTGTCCTTTGGTAGTTACTCTTGGAACTTGCAAGTTTTATGTAATTATGAGTATACAATACGTTTTTTGAATATGCACAGGTACAAGAGCAAAAAGCAATCATTAACCAAATTGCTCTAATGTCAAATCAAAAAACCATAAGAATTCTCGGAAATGTCAAGAGACACTAGAAATACCAAACTTTGCGACCACTAATAATTACTCTCGCCTCATTTGGTGCAATTGCACTACAATTTGAATTCACCAGCGGAAATAAAAACCTACAGTATCGAATTTCAATAAGTATAGACTATATTTGGATTTGTAACACTTCAGTGAAGAATGTGCACACATCTGAGACTAATTTGTGGTACAATTGCACAAACACCCCAGAGATTAGCAATAATTATTAACTTGTTTGTTTATTTCATAAACATATAAAAGACGAGAAATGTAATAATTAGGAATAGCAAGCAGGTACGATACATAGGAATCAATGTTATTTAGTTATTGTCAGAAATATTGTTATTTGTTATTTAGTTATTGTCAAAAATATTGTTATTAGTTATTTAGTTATTGTCAAAAATATTTTTAATAATACAAAAACTTCACTATTATGACAGAGTAAATTCCTTCATTAAGTTTGTGATTACACATTTTCGAGGAGGGGAAAAGCCGTATTGAACTGAATATCCTTGTCCCTTGAAGCAAATCCTAGAGATTCTGCAAATGCACACATTAGCAAAGAAAGTAGTACTACAATGCTACACAGTCGTGCATCCGTGAGCTTCTAAGATAAGGTCTTCTCTATCGAATACTTTTCAAATTAAAATAAATACTCTTAGTTTTTGAACCCATCGATTGCTTATTCCGCAATTACAGACTTTCTTCTTCCCATCACAACCGCTGGGAATCGACCCAGCTGGTCAAATCCAAGTTCCAAAAGATCTCCAGTCAAAGCGAGTATGCAATATTCCAACATCGTGCAAGACCGAGTCAATAGGTGAGCGGCTTTACTTCCTTCTAGTTATTTTGTTCTGCTAGTAGAGAGCGAAAACTGACAGAAAAAGCAATTTTCTCAACCTTGTCGTAACATTCTGCGCTAGAACCGGATTTTTATGGTAACTGCTTTAGCCGACATTATCTTACCGGTAGCGAAAGCAAAAATGTTTCTTATACTCTTGAAGGGCTTCTTATATCCACAGACTGAGCTGGAATTTTGTAAGTAAGGTTGCGATTTTTGAAAAATTTGCTCGTAAATTACGGTGTTGTGCACTGAATTCATTTCATTTCGGTGCTCTGAGATCAAATGGTAATATGCTGGTTTCGGTGTTTTGCTAAACAGCTTTTGTCCATCCCGTCCTCTTTAAAATCTATTTGAGTCTCAAAAACGGAAAATATTCTTAGAATGAAGTGCGATTTTGACCCCTGAGTTTACCCCAACCCACTTTGACGAAACAGAGCATTTCAAGTTTTTTTTCTCTTCAACTTAGAATTCTAATTTTCTCATTTCCAAACAGAAAAACGAGCAATTTTCCAAGTTACGAATTCATGTAAACACATTGTCACCTTTTTTTCCGGTTGTGTTCTCGTTCATGAGTATCTCTAGTTTTCTTACCTCAATTACCTACAAATACAGGAACCGGCTGTCATCCTGGCATCTACCAACACGGGTTTTTCAGGGCTAATTTACTTTTTTTCATTATAGACGAAGTCATAATACTTCCGGTAATTATCTTGGGGTAATTTATACTTGAAAATGATTGTAGGTCGAATTCTGTAAACATTGAGTTGATTCTTGAACTCATATGGGCAGAAAGTTTATTTACTGTCTTAGCTGCCATATGATTTTGTAAACCTAAAAAATGCTTACTTTAGGGCCAAATTCCTTGAATTGATTACTCTTAAAAACTATAAAATTCCAGGTTTTCCACAATATTCTCTTATCTTCCATGGCCCTGCTCAAAATCGAAGTCAGATTTTTCAAAGAGTCGATTTGAACGGCAATAGCGTCGTACCTCCTTTGTCTCACTTGGAACACTTTTTTCGAGCCGCTAAACGCAGCAGAAAAGAAAAAAAAGAGGTCAAATAGCTGAGATACTGTGTTGTACTTGAAGGTCAATAGCAAGCATTCGGTATTTGAGTCGCAACACAATGAAAAAAACTGTCTGGACCATCGAGGGCAGGACAAAGATTTTTTTTCGTTCGTGTACAATAAGCAAAAGAGGATTACTAGGTCATGGTATCTGTTCCGGAACGCACTTTGCTTTGTGGATTTTTTTGTGCTGAAAATCTAGAGCGACAAATAGGCAAGGGGACCATGTAGGGTATTTCTCGAATTTTTCTATACAAGAAAAACCAAGCATACATTTGCGTGGCCCTCAAATCACTATTACTATTTTGATTTCTAGGATTAATTTTCCACTCTACACGAACATAATGAGACAAAATGTAATAAATCAGCCTTCTTGCTACCCACCGTTATAAATTTTAGACTCGCTGCCCTACTATACAAAATGGTAGGCGCGAGTAATTTGTAAGTGAATATGTGAGCCTGCACAACGCGCGCAGTAACCAACGATACCTTATTAGCAACTCATTAGCAAAACATTTCTAGCGAAATAATTTAGGAAATGCTTACTACTGCTACCCATTACATATGTAAACAAATCATAAGGGACAAACAGCAAAAGAAATGCCCAGATATCAACAAATTCTAGTCTTATAAGTCGTGAAATAGCGCGCGTGGTCTGCACCCATACTAAGTTACAAACACTCGACGATGACTAAAAATTTGTTCAAAAATAACTACACATTATTAACAGCAAAGTAGAGCGTAAAATTGCTCTATATGTACTACAACCGTTTCTAGGCCACATATGGCTTTGCTCTCATGGTTATTGTGTAAACAAAATTTTCTTTTACTTCTTGATCTTCCTACTTTGATTTTATTGTGAAGGCAAAATATCTTCTGCATTAGTCACGCTGAATAATACTGCAATTAGCCAGTGTGTCATTACCTCCTTGTTTGTCAAAAAGGATTGAACATTTCACTTATTGAACATTTACTATGAAAACTGGTTGTCTGACAAATTTTCTTGCAGTTTCTTCTTTGAGGAGAGGGAATGTTGTCAATTCGATATGATGATAGAGTGAAATGGACAATAAAATTGTTAGGTTAAAGAAAAATTGGAAAATTCTTTAGCAGATTTTTTCTCACGCAATGTAGTACTGGAACTAAGGAGAAGAGTTCAGAAAAAATTATAATTTATAGGATTTTTGAGTTGAGCTGAAATTATGAGTTGAGGAAGAGTTCAAAGAATTGTTTGCGAGATTTTTGACCTTCCAGCTGTTACGCGATTACAATAATGTTGAATCAGAAGATTTCGTGATCACATCCCTTCCCCCCCCTCTTCCCCTTCTTGCAAGATTACCCCACCACCTTTTTTCAAACGATTTTGACTAAGTGCAAACCCGTTAAATTCACGGTCATCGCATACACTAAGAAAGTGCTAATCTCACATAAATCGTCAATGTTCTGGTTCGCATACATTTGTGCTTGTGGCTGTATAACCTAAATGGATCAATCAAAAGCGTTCCTGTGACAGAAATTGATGTGATTTTGTGAAACGATTACGCGAAAAAACTCCAGCAATTACCTGCTTTTAGTGCGATAAACCTGTCCACTAGCTTTTTTTTTCTTCAATTGCAAAAGCACACACATACATGCCGATCGCTTCCAAACAGCTACATGAACTATGAAGAACTTGGACATATGATAGGACAGCCCATTGTCAGGCTTACGGTAATTGTGATGCATGGGGGATCTGTAAGTTTTCGTTCATTCTCAAATACCGTGTCCCAAAAAATGTTAACACTGTTTGATCGTTAATAACTCCTTTGCTTTCATTTCTTTCGCCGAACTTGAGGCAGTTAAACTTACATGCACAGTATGGAGCGAATCATCAATCGCTCTTCGTTACTGTAGGATTACGGTAAAAAAATCGACAAGGATTTTAGGCCGTTGGAGGTCATATTCTGCCTCGGAACAAAACCAAGCAAGCCAGAAACTCTTACATGGTAATGGAAGCCGCTAATTTCAAAATTTCCACTTTACTGTGATGCTTTTTTCCAAAGTCATCCCTGGTAAATTGTGATAAGTAAATTCCAAGCATTTGTCAGAAATGTGATTATACCGTCAAAAAAGCAGAAAACACTCGTAAAAAGTTGTGTAGTGGAATCAGTGTGCGCGAAAGCCCCAGTACACGATTTTTAGATTTTTTGGAAATATATTTAAGATGGCATACTTCACAATGGTTCCACATGCTGAAAGTTCTTACCGTAAACCTACAGTAACGAAGAGCGGTCGATGGTTCGCTCCATACTGTGCATGTAAATTGAACCTTGCTCTGCAGAATGGTGCCTCAAGCTCGGCGAAAGACATAGAAGCAAAAGCGTTATTAACGATCAAACATGTTAACATTTTTTTGGGACACCTTGTATGCTATGAAATTTTGAACCCAAGAAAATCTGTTTAGGGTTATCACGATTTCAACGGTAATAAGCTTCTTCTCGAAGAAGAGAGTCATTTTCAAAACTTAAAAACTTTAACACTATATAACGCAAATCTGCCAAATGAAGCTTTGAGTCTCCACAAGCGGCTTCCTTGATGTTATCTCAAGATACTGGTCTTCAAAACACATTTTTATTCTGTCAAATGACTAGGTGCTTTTTTCTAAGTTAATATATTCATTTAACTATTATTATTTTTACAAGTGATCTTGGCCCTTTGTCAAAGTGATAATTCTGGAAAGCTGCCAGAAGCCACGCGCTGAGAAACTTGCACAACTAGGGGGATCACTGTAGAAGCGGAAATTCAAAAGTTTGCACATTCTTGGCCTTCAGTACCGCGCTGCGTGCAAGGATAATCCAAAGAAAAAGTTACCCCAAAATAGCGTGGCTTACCTTTTCTCTCCATTTTTTCGGCGAAGAAACGAGTCCTAACAATTTTCTACTCTTTTTAATGTGAGATATAATTACTGTGTTCCTTACCCTTGTTCCGGCAATTATTGCAACCAGAAAATTGTATTTTGGATTATCAAGTGTTTGTTCCTTACAAACACTTGTTAGAAAATCTTTCGTCGCGCAATTTCATCCATAAGAAAATGGGAAAGTGAAAGTGAGAATGACAAATGCGATTTTCGCTTTTTACAGAAAATACACAAATGTCATTGTAGCCGTTGAAACGTGATCACGAAAATTCGCATTTGTGGTGCGGATGATCTATCTAGTTTTCAAATTAATCCACGAATTCGGTGTATATTCCGAAAAACAATCCGTTAATTGCTCTAGGATTGCTTGAATTTGCATAATTTCTATTCTGCTGGAGAAATCTAGCAATTATTACTGAAAAAAGGAAATTCGCAACAGCTATTATGTGCTTTTTTGTGGATTTATAGGTTTTTCTGCTACTGCTTCAATTTTCTCACATTTTTTACCTCGAATATCGAGTCCAAATTTTCCAGATTTTTGTGCTATGTCATTACAGACAATTCGGCACCATAGAAACATCAAAGAACTTCTACTCTCAAAGAATTTCTCGTTTTGTTGAAAGCAATTGCCATGCTGTGTCGTGTGGTTGAGGTGTTACAAAAGTGCAAATGTCGGAAAAAGTGCTCTATTTGCGTTTCGGAAGAGCGCGTGTTGAATGATGCCGAACCGCGCGGCGGTGATTGCCGTTGTGGTTTTCTTAGAGCGAAAAGCGACGATTAGACTTGAGGGTGAATTTAGATGTGGTGAAACGTTCGGATGCCACGGTCTGTGAGCACACACAAGGCAAGAATATCATCAGATGGCAGAAGGTTGACGATGAGGTGAAGTTCTCTATTGGGCAAGGCGTACAGCCTGGAAAGTGGTGGTCAGCCATTGGTGTTGGACAAGGAATGGCGGTAAGTATGTTCAGAGTATTCAAATAAGTTTTTTTCCTTAGAAATGCACATAATCTAACGCAATGATGCACAATGACCTCCGAAAATTGCGTACTAGTGTAGTTATGTAGGACAGACAGCTGCTGTCATGCTTCATTAACTCGAGCCACCAAACTCTGAAACTCGTCCACCGCGCCATTAGCAAATACCAGGCTATTGTGAAGACGATTCAGACACTGGCTTCGCTCCTTTTTTTTTCGAGGTCGTGTGCCGTCTCACAAAAGAAGAGCACCCGCTAGTTCGAAAATGCCAGCTCATGAATGCGCGATCATGAATCAGCCCACATGATGGAACGAAGGCTAACTGAAGGGTTCACTTCGCTCACTTATATGTGAGATGCGACCTTGCCAGTCTACTCTTTCCTATTGAAAATGACACTTCACCGACGCCAAGACTTTGAGACTGTGGGATCATTGGTTGTATTGTTATAGTAAGGAGAGCTAGTCAATATAAGGCTTGATTTGGAGATAGTACTGTCATACCAAACTAAGCTTTGGATTTTGGCGTCAATTCAAATTTTTTTGGTACAGTCGACATGAAGGCCAAGTTAAGAAGATCGTATTTCACAGAAATTGGTCTTGAAAAGTTGTATTTTCAACTGGTTACGGGTCCCTTTTGTAGAAGCTAGGAGAAGTAAGAAGAGGGGGGGGGGAGAGAAATAGATTCAGATTTTTGACTAAGCGTTAAAATTTGGAGGACAGTAGTGATGCTGAGAAAGTAAAGAAGAGGTCATCTCAAATTGAAACTCCTCATTCTTTTCGTCACCCTTACCGCTATCTGGGGAACTGTTGGGCGCGCCCCGTAAATGCACATCAATTTTATTTTCATAATTTTCAGTACGTTGAAAGTTCGATATATTTTGATAATTTTCACTCAAACGGCGATGTTCCCTCAGTCAGGCGCCTACTCTCATGACTCAGATGATGCAAGAAATTTTGTATAACTTTGCAAATTAGTGCACTATTACAGAAAACACGTTTGCCTCTCAGATTTGGAGTGCACAATTCAGTTGCCCCTAACCACCACTGCACGGAACATTACTTTTGTGAAGTGGGAAGAAATTCAGGATAATTATGTAGTCCTAATCTCCAAGTTCGTTACTGTATTTGGGCCATTGATCGCGGAAAAAAGACTTGAGAGTTAATATGTGCGGTTTTTATGAGTGAATTGAACTCTCTTGTCATTTTCCAACTATCTCCAAGCTTTATGTTAGTAAATATCCCCCGTTCAGGATCTAAAAATAGCAGCCGCATTCTTTGAAAACGGTGAAGTGAAGAACATGGGAGGTTATCACGCAGAAGGTCACGGTGTGCCCGCCGCTGACGATACCCTTACACCAAAATTGGATGCTGAGGTCAGTCATCCTACAGAAACGATCTGGGCCAGATTAATCTCTTTACTGTTTTCAGAACACCAAAGTAGTCGATGACAGGTCGGTGGCGCAATTCTCACTTCCCATGGATTTATTCACCTCACGTTTTGTAGGTTTTTCTGTTTGAATGTTTTTGAGTTGTCATGTCCACTTATCAAGTAAAAAATGCACTCCGCAGAGTTTTGGATACTGAGTTTGCAATGTTAGGTAAAAATCACTGTCATTAGAAATGTTGGGGGCAAATTTTATAGATTAAAGAATAGCCACTTATTGTTAAAGTTGACCAATACAGTTAAGTGCTTCAAACATATCACCACTTTTTTGCGTTCCATATAAAATCACTAAAAAAATTTTTCTTCTCCCTCCAAATGCAAACAAAACATTTTTTTGCATTCTCTGTCTAGAATTTGACTCCTTGAAGATTGCTGTTTAGGACGACAGCGGTTGCGTTACCCTCCAAATTGCTTCTGAAGCTGGGGAATGGGACGACGATTACGTTTTCAAAAAGCATCAGGTAAACATCGCATGACCTGGTTCAAAGGCGGACAGTTTTATAAACTTCATCCTCTCAGAACACACCGGAAGCGGTTCTTGTTTGCGGCATAGATCAGTGCTCAGCCACTCTGGAAACTGCTGGAGCTGAAGCGGGAGCCGGAGCAGAAGCGGGAGCCGGAGCAGCGGGAGCCGGAGCGGAGGCGGTGACTGGAGCTACTGGAGAAGCCGGAGCTGAAGCTGCTAGTGGAGCTACACCTGCTGCAGCTGGAGCTGAAGCTGTCAGCGGAGCTACACCTGCTGCAGCCGGAGCTGAAGCGGTGTCTGGCGCTACGGCTGAGCCTGGTGCAGCAGGAGCTGCGAGCGGAGCTGCGACTCAGCAACCTGAATCTAACGGAGTGACTGCAGCTTCTGAAGCATCAGGCAGTGATGCTACGGCCATGGCTGCTCAAGCAGCCAGCGGCGCAACTACCGCTGTACCGCAAGGAGCGACTATCACAGCTGAGGCAAATGCAGTTGGTGAAGGTGCGATCGCCTCGGGTGCTACGCCAGCTGAAGCACACGAAGGATCTGCCACGGAAGCTACTATGGCTGGAAGCGGAAGCGAACACACCGTTGCTCCGGGCGTACAAACGAGCACTGTTGAAGGTGTCAGTGGAGTTTTAAATGGTATGATGTCAACTCTGCTCACTCATCAAATTGTGACTGTATTTTGTTTTCCATTTAGGTGCTTCGGCTCGACCTGAAGTAGAGGGAAGCGGAGAGGCTGCCAATGATACCTCATTGTTTGCAGCGGCAGCTCACGCTGTCGAAGAGTTACCTGAAGGTTATTTTTACTACTGTCAAAAAACAATGATTGCTGTCCAGGCATACAAGTAGCCCTATTCGAGATATGATATGGCTTGTTTACATGAAGTAATAGTAAGCATGCTCACCAAATGTCAAAATAGATAATGTCCCGATTTTTGTTGACTGCAGATTTTCTCGCGGTGCTATGAAATTCAAGAGCAATATGAAAAAACTGTTTTTGCATTTGAACTTGTTTGGAGAGGTTCTCTGAAAAATCTAAGGTAAACGATTCGGTAGGAAACTGAAAAATATTTCTTTGCTTGAATTTTGGTCCAGAAAAGCGCCATTACTTCGTCCTGCATACTTTACCTTCCAGTGATAAACGTTTTGTACTAAAATGAAAATTACGACTGCCGCATCATGCATGGAAAACTTGTTGTGTATACGGAAAAAAGACCCAGACTTTCTGAAAAATTTGCAGATCTGTGTTTCGATATTAGCTTTCACCTATCCAGATTATATAGTTTTTAGCTCGTTAAACTGTTTCAAGGAATGTGGAAAAACCCAGGGAATCAAAAACTAGTGCTAAGAAACTTTTCTTTATTCAGGCTCCGGAATGGAAGGAAGTGGTGAACTGGCAAAAGTCGAAGTTCATGGCACTGAAGCTGTACGTTCTATAACTTTTCGCCATTATTCATATGAATTCCTGTCAATTTTCAGCTGAATACCATCACTGGCACTGGTGCTGCCGCAGAAGAAGGATCGGTAAGTGATTTCTAAATTTTGTATGGATTCTATGCTCTGCGGTTCAGGGAGAAGGAGCTGCTAAAGCAGCTGCGCTAGGTGAGGGATCTGGGGAAATGGCTATCGGAGGAGAAGGAGCTAAGGTCACTGGTACAGAAACTGAAGGAAAACCTCTTGTTTTGGCTAAAGCTGATGAGCCGACCGTTGTGAATGTTCTCAAAAATGGTAAAATCTTAGCTGACTTATGTGCTTTCAAAAAAAATTCGTTTTAGGATGTGGGGATGATCATACCGATATAAATGTGTGCGAACACTATTTCGAAGATTATCTTGGAAAAGTAAAAGCATGGGCCGACAAGCACGATCAGGTTTTGGAGAAAAATATGTGGAAGGTAGCAAGCTTTAGTTCATAAACTTATAAGAAACAAAACAACGCCTTCTAACCGAAAGTTGGCCCTTAGGAAACGCTCTATTTTTTGTATAATTCGCATACATCGTGACAGGACCACCTCTCTATGTTTCACTACGGTTTTCTGATAACCAGTCCAGTAGGATTATCAATGCAAGCAAAGCATCATAACTGCAGCCGAATTGACCTCCCCCCTCCTCCCCCACCCAACCAGGGCTCGGCACGAGCTGGCACCAGGGAAATTTCAAAACGAAGTCCCGTTTGATATTGAAAATTTCGTACGAAGTCCCTTTTGACCTGTTTTGAAAACCCGTCATCATTTTTATATTATGTAAAAAAATGTGGTACTGTTTCCATGCATTTATGATTTCATGAAAGAAACTTTTCACAGCTTTCTGAGCTTTTTAAATGGTCGAATCACTTGAGAAGCAGAAAAAGCCGATTTTTCGACGGCGGAGCGGACCGAGTGGTTTTGAAATTGCTATAAAACGCTGAAAAGAGAATATTATGAAACTGTTTCTTCTCCGTATGTAATTTTTTACAGCGTAGATACATTTTATGTAAAAAAGTATGAAAACTTATGTGAGCAAAGTGTCGGTGCCAGCTCAGCTGGCACCCAGCTGGCACGGTGCCAGCTAATTCAGAAAAAAGTTTGGCACAGCTTTCATTCACATAAGTTTTCATAAATTTTTGGCCCGTAGTTCCGGTCCACCAACGCGCATGCACACACCAAATTTGGTATCATACTATTGCGTTTTGGCTGAAAACAACGCCTTTGTTTGTTGATGGACAGCTTGCCAATGGCATGTCGGCGGCATGCCGGCGGCATTTTTGCGGCAGTTCTCCGCCTCGGCCCTTGTAGAAACGATATCCCCTTTGCTTTCCGCGCTAAAAACGATATCCAGCTTGACCCGGTGCCAGCTGTGCTGAGCCCTGCACCCAACCCCCTCTGAAGAAGCCAGGGTATCATTGAAAGTCAATAAATTAAGCAAAATGTTTTAAACAACTTGAAGAAATAGTTTTATAATTTTTTGTGCCCTTAAAAATGTCTTCTTTTTTAGGCTTGCAAGTTGCTGTCGCAGGTCAAGCACGTTCCAACTTTATGCTGCAGTAAATTCTATTCTACCTGTAGCACACATATGGAAACGAGAAGATGAAATTTAGAAAAATTTTACTCTTGTATATAAGGCTACAATCCTTACTGAATTCGCTACGTTAAATTTGATATGTCCAATTATGTGTAAGTTGTGTGAACTTATCACTTCATTGCATTACCGATCAAATTGCGGGATAGGTACATTTTACACCTGAACGTTTATTTTCTGAAAACTGAGACACTTAAAGCACTGTGATACTCTTACGGCTTCTCTACTCAACTTTTGTTTGCTTGCTGTCGATGATTCTTGCCAATAAATGTCGACATATGTGTCATTTCAGTAGAAACTAAAATTTCTTTTTGAAACATACGTACAGATATAAAGACACATATACACATAGACATTCAGCTTTATTTATGCAGATCATTAGATGAGGGAAATTAGCGAGAGAGGAGCGCAGAGTAAAGGTGTACTGGGTGACCGAAAAGTATGGGCATCACATTTTTGTTTGCAAAATTTTTCGTACAAAAACTTTTGCCAGGATTTTTTTTGCATGTCAAAAACGAAGGCATCTTTATGAGTTACCCCTACAAAAGTGGGCTCCTGCACATAAGCGCTACTGCATGACGAAAGCGCAGAAGCAGTATTAGTTATGCGGGTGCGAACGCGACGCGCGCTTCTCCTCACCGTTGTAAATCGCTTTGCGGCCTATAAAGCCGCGTTCGCGCCCAAAGATATTGCGCCTTCGTCATGCCGCAGCCTATACGGAGAGACTTCAGCAGCTTATCTTGAAGCTAATGCATCAAATAAAAGTTACTGCGAAAACGTGGAGGTAATCCATTTACAATTTGAGTAGATTCTTAGACCTGAGATTTAATAGAGTATTTTCTCACGAATAAGGTAGTGCCGTAACAGTAGTACTTCCTCTACTCCAAAATAAAATATGATACTATAAACATGATGCTGATTGGCCGCGCCGCAGTGCCATCTAAGTAGAAGTAAATGCGGAATTCCGCTTGCATTGAAAGAAGTCGCTTCACGCAATTTTCATACATCTCAATATAGACTTTTTACACACCACAGGCACATTGACTGTCATGACAGATTATTTCCAGAAAAAGATATGCTACATGTTGTAAAGCCCGTACTTGCCGGCCACCTTGTAGATCTTTGTATTTTCTGCGAAGTTAAGTGATGGATCAAAAAAGAAGCAATTACGTCGTATTTAGTCTTACTGACTGCTACTAGCTGTGCAGAAAACATCGACAAGGAGACATAGCTGTATGCTCAAAGTTCGGGAAGAAGTGGCAAAAATCCAGAAACCAAATCAGCGCTTGCTCTATGCTCTGTGCTGTCTTTATGTCAAAATAACAGCAATAAGAAGAAAAAATCAGAACAAGACAGCAAAGGCACCAAACCCGCGTCCATTTAGTCGAGCAACATTAGCGTCACATCGTTTTTATCACCTCGGCATGGGCGGATTCTGAATCCAAGAGCATCATTCAACGCTGATCGGAGCGCGCATCTTTTGGTGTATGTCCCCTCTGCCTCATCAGAATTTGGCCACGCTTGATTAGCGATTAAAGCTTAGCCCTTAACGCTCAGGTGTGAAAAATTGATCAGAAAGCATGCTTACAAAAGAGGTGTAGGGTCCAAACGAGGTGATCGCGCGGGACCGAGCTGCGCGCGAAACCATCACTCCTATTGAGATAGAGTGCGAGACCCGTCTGAGTAGATAGACCTATGCCAGCTAAACAAGAGGTAATTACAAAGGTAGGAAGCAACCTAAGGCAAAAACCAGCACATCCTCCGAAAAAAATTTGAAGTTTCGCGCGCAATGGCTAAGCACCAGAAATCGACGTGGTTGACGTTTTTCTCCAATGTAACTTCTTGAGCAAATGTGCCATAGCAAATGTGCAATAGTGGAGCAATTTCTCTGCTCCACTTGACTTTTTGGCCGGCATTTGGATACCTCCTTCACCTGAGGTTGAGACTAGAGTCAGGGCATGACGGCGGAATAAAACGCCTATGATAAATGGTGCACATTTTGTTTGGAAACACCGTCTGCTGCTTTTTCTCAGTTAGTGCATGACATGACTGCACTTTTACAGCGATTCCTAGGAAAAACGCAAGCTAAGTCCAACCTCACTCAGAATAGCTTACAAGGAAAGCGTGTTTAGTCAAAGTGGCCTTTTCAGAGACGACCCATACCGCTTTGAATACATTAAACGGCAATTCTAAATCTGCCTTTCAAATCTGCCAAGCGCCGCCGAGTTATGAACATTTTTTAGGTCAAAAAATTGGACGCAAAACTGGAAGAAAATTGCCCAGATTTGCTCAGATGGTCCACTGCCAAGTATCAGAGCCGATTATGCAATGGATACATCTTGTCTATATGCTAATACTCAGTATTGCTTTGTCTGAGCGCTGGAAAGGTTATAACAGTCGATTTTACCTAAGTTGTGCATTCAATTTCGTTCCAAAAAACGGTCATAACTCGACGTCCAGAAGCGCTTGGCAGCTTTGGAAGGCAGATTTGGAATCAAAGTGCAATACTCTTTAAAGCAGTATGGGTCTCATCTGAAAAGGCCACTTTGACTTAACACGCTTTCCTTGTTAGTTTTGATAACGTAAACCTAAAAATTTAGAGGATGTCTGATTTTCTGAATGAGCAAAATTGCTCAATGAATTAGTATGTCGTCGCAGGGAAGAATTATGCAAGAGCAAAAAGTATGGTCTGGCTAATGGTGAATGCATGTACACCGACAAAAATCAAACTGCACCTCCTATCATTGAACATGATATGCTCTTCCCAAGCTTCGTAAAATATCCTTTTCGTTTTGAGAATGAAGCATAAAATAATTCACAAAATTCTGGTATTGTAGCTAGAAAATTAACATATCTCGCTTCGAAGAATAGCTGAAAAAAAAAAGAGACGGTCTACATGCATTCCTTATGCTCTTAGCTACAGAATGGTATATGAGTAGCTTTCCCCCTCCGAAAAAGTCTTGCTCCGGCGACCCATGAAAGCCAAACCATTGTTACGTCTTATCGCACAAATAATGGCTTGACACATTCCGTATAGATGAAACATGCTACACGAGCTCTTTCTGAAGCGGAAAGGGTTGCAGATTATTTTTCGAATGTATTTAACAACCCTTCCCCTTTTATGCCCTAAACTGTCGAGTAGATCCCTTGAGCAATAGCTTCACCCAAGGGACCTTATGCTGTTGGACCACTTTTGGAGAAAGTTAGTTCAGCATTATTAGCTACATCTGATGATATACCAGCTATTTTCCAGAAGATATTTGCTGACGAATTGTCACATTAACTCATATTTACAATAGAAGTTTATTGAATGCAGAATTGAGCCGTTTGTGGAAATTTGCCATTTCACTCCCTTCCAAAGACTCAGTACTCTCTCACAGTCCTAAGGCTCTCTGACTTTAGAGCAATAAGCATACTTCTAACCTCTTGCAAGATACTTGGAAAAATTGCTGCAAAGAACTTATTAATTTGGCTTGACAAGGTAGATGGTCTCCCTCAGCAACAGCATGGATTTTTGCATGTCGATTCACTGCTACACACCTCCTGGATTGCCAGTTTGACTGAGCAGAAGCATGATGAAAACAGTTTGTAAATGCTGTACATATCGATCTAAATAAAACATTTGATACAGTAGATTACACTCTCTTACTAGCTAGACTCGAAGAGCCTATCCATGATAGAATTCCGAAGCCATGATCCTGCAGATCTGGAGTGCCAAGAATAGCATTCTACCCCAGTTCTGTTCATATATATGTGGCGGCTCGGGTGAGCCCTAAGCACCTAGACTTATCTGAGATACCTGTGCGCTCGCCCGCTTAAAACATACGACGCATCCTAGCCTAGCACTTTGCTCTAGCGCAAAACAATAGTAAATTACTAACATTTTATTCTTATTTATTTGCCTTATTTATTTATTTAAGAAGTCGACATCCGAATGATTCTAGAGGAGGAAGATCAATAATTTCAGCGGTCGACAAATATCTTATACGTCTTTCGAAAACGATACCCCCTATTTGGGGGCCAGCGAGCCCGCCTGCAAAGGCTAGCTGGCCGTAACCCAGAGAGAGAGATAAAGGTTTCAGCGGTTTTCGAAAGGACAATAAGACATAAAAGAAGAGAAAAATACAATAAAAACCCTCGGAAGAGGGGAATGATCAGCAAGAAAAAAGAACGAAATAAACACAAGGAGAATACTGAAGCAAAGAAAAAGGACAATTTGAGAGAGTTGCAGTAATACAAAATGGTAAAGAAATCACTGGAGGTAGATACGTTTTTTTGTGATTTGGGGAACAAAAAATAGAAAATTGAACAATCGACATAGCGAAGAATTTCGCCTTCTTGGAGACAAACCATACGTCAGTTAGAATTCATTGCGGAGAAAAGGAACGTCGAAACCTCAAAAATTTCCTGGAAAATGATAGTCAGAATAACCCTTGTGATTTCGGAATTTTTGAACTTCTCTGTTGAAAACGAATGTAGATCTCGCGGTGATAGTTTCCAATGGGAGCGCATTCCATGTTTTGATAACACGCACTAAGAAAGAGTTATAGAATGTTCCTCACTTTCCCTACTACAAGCCTGAACATGTGTCCTCTAGTGTAATTGTTGAAATTCGATAGACTGAAAAAATCTTGCGTTTCTAATTCAATTCTGCTGGTCATTATTTTGAAGACAAGGTTTTGGTCATAAAGGGTTCTTCTAAACGCAAGAGTGGTAGTGGCTAGAATAGAGAGCCTAGATTTGTACGACAATCGGAATATTCCAGCTCGGGCAAAAATTCTGGCAGTGAACGATCTCTGGACTTTTTCTATCATTTCCGTAAGGGTTTTCTCAGAGGGAGACCATAGTGGAGTGCAGTATTCCAAAAGAGGACGAACATAGATGACGAAAAGGCGAAAGAGAATTTTTACATTAGTAGTTTTGAACCCACGAAGGATGTAAGCGGCAACGGCGATATCACTTATGTATTTCTCAAACTTTAGTTTGTCAGAGTAGGTTACACCAAGGTCCCTGGCGCTGCTAACTGTTCGAAGCTCATGTGTCCCAATACGAAAGGAATACGAGGGATGTGCACGTCCAATGGCCATGATAAAGGTTTTTATCGCGGAAATGTCAAGCTCCCATTTGTCGGACCACTTCTCTGCCGCATCCAAAGCGCGCTGCATCAGACTAGGGTCGTCGTAGCAGTAGAGCTTTGTGTCATCAGCATATATAGAGCAATGTACATCGTGGGGAAGGCATGACGGCAGATCGTTGATGTAAAGCAAAAACATCAAAGGCCCTAAGCAAGTACCTTGCGGCACACCACTTGCCGTTAGATAGATTGATGAAAGCGATTCGTTGACCCGCACTCTTTGCGTGCGCTCAAGCAAGAATGCTTTGAGGAATCGCAACAAACAACCTTTGATGCCGTAAGCATCTAATTTTATAAAAAGAAGAGTTAAGGGCACGGAGTCAAAGGCTTTCTTATAATCTATATAACAGACTGTTACAACTCTTTTTTCATTAATTGCTCTCTGCCACAAGGGTACCATTGACATTAAAGCTGATAATGTAGATTTTTTGGGTAGGAATCCATGTTGTGCTTTGTGCACAAGATGGTTACTAGTAAGAAATGCACAAATCTGTTTACAAATTATTGTTTCAAAGACTTTGCTTACTGATGATGTTAAACAGATCGGCCTATAATTTCCGGCCTCAGCCTTGCAGCCCTTTTTGAAAATTGGTTTAACGATTGCAGTGCGCCATAAGGCAGGGGCTTCCCCATGAAGAAGAAATCTTTGAAACAACAAAGCTAGTACTGGGGCTATACCTAACGATGCCTTCCTAAGAAAAACATATAGAAGTTCATCAGGGGATGTGGATCTTCCAAGGGGGAGTCGCCTCAAAACTTGATATACTGTATCAGTGGTGATATCCAAATAATCAATCTTCGCATTTGTAAAACGTGGACAATCAACATTCGAGGTTGTTGGGTCCTTATAGACGGATTTGAAAAATTCGGTAAACCTCTCTGCTTTCTCCATATCAGATGCGCAGGGCTGGCCGGCTGAGTCGTATATAGTGCCAATGCTATTTGACACCCTCAAGTTTTTATTGCAGAAGCGAAAGAACGCTCGTACATTTCGGCTGTCGGCAATTTTGCCTTCTTCTATGAGTCTGCAGCGGTATAATTCACGTTTGAGTTTTTTTGAGAACCTTGATATTTTTGGATGCCAATTCTGCTTCTTGCACGGTAAAGCCTAGAGACCTTGGCCTCAAGCTTGAGTATCCTTTTAGGATAGAAAAGCATGCGGCCACTGTACATTTTACGCAGAGGGACAAAGTTGCTAATGGCATTAAGGCACACTTCAAGAAAATATTCATAACATCGATCTGCCGACAATGCACTGAATACGATACTTCGCCAATCCACTTCTAATAAGCTCATGTTTATAGCGTCATAATCAGCATGCATGAAATCAGGCTGATATTTCTCAGGCGATACTATTCTATGATGCTTGCGCAGCTTAAATGTAATAGAGCAGTGGTCCGACGTAGAGAACGGTTCGCATACATTAAGGTATTTATCAAGTTACTATTATTGGAAAACACAAGATCAAGCAGTTGAGAGCCTCTAGTGGGAACCTTAACTAGTTGATGTAGACCATATACTTCCACAACTCGAATAGCTCTGCGGAAGTGGAGGGGACCCAGTAATGCGCCATTCTGCCATCCTCATGCCATGAGCCAACCGGCAAATTAAAATCTCCCAGAATGATGCAGTTTTAATTTCTGTCAAGAATTTCAGCGAAATAAGTTACTGCATTTGCAAAGGAAGTACTGTCACAAGAGGGACTTCGATAAACCAATACAAAATAAGTGCAGCTGGTTGCATCACTAACACAAAAACATAGAACTTGGCATTATGGGGAGAAGTTCTGACTGGAGACTAAGTGATGCTCTAGCCCTCTATGTATGAGAGCAAGAACACCGCCTCCTATACTGCTGCGCTCTCTGTCACATCTGCATATATCATAATCAAGACCTCGGCATATGTTAGCATCATGTATAGAATATGGCTTGCACCATGATTCCGTTATGAAGAGAATAGATGGGTCAAAAGGAAGTGCTCTATGTAATTCAGGCAGTTTATTGCAGATTGAGCGTGCGTTAAATAGAATCATGCAACCAGCAAAATTTGGATATTGAGCATGAATTATATTATTTCAATCAGTCACGTCATACCGGAGGGTGGTTTCTGTTTGTTGAGTTCTGTCCTAGTGTGCACTGAGCACACCCGGGGAATATTGAGAGGAAATTACCGGGGACATGGCAAATGGGGGCGAGGCACTACAGGGTTGCTCCAACCCTACCGCAGAACTCCCGTCATTAAACCCGTTGCGACGCATGGCGGAGGGCGCCAAGGAGCGCCTGGGCAAGTCGCGCGGTGTCCGGAGTTTGACGATATCAAAATCGCGGACAACATAAATCAACTTGCCCTCTCTAGCATTGAGATCCCCCGCACGGTTGCGCAGCTCACGATCCAACTGCAATTTCTCATTCGTGTAGTCGCGCCTGGCATATGAGTGCACGAACCTTTGCGTGAGACTCTGCCGCCCCGTTTTCATGTGTTCTAAAAGCTTATCCCTCAACTCTTTCGAGCGGAGGCCCACCTTTAGAATACCACCACAGGCTTGAGAGCCTCTCGGCTGCCAAGAAGGATGACGATGGACAGATACATTGCCCTTGTCAAACTCCTCAATCAATTCCCTTTCGCCCGACGTATATACATACTCCCTTACGATCTCCTGATCAAAACGACGAGTGGCTGACTCGTCGTCTTGCTCATCGATCCCTACAAGAGCAATCCTTTTGGATTTCTCCTCTAACTTGCCATCGTCCGCACGGACTTTGACAAGGGTAGAGTAGAGCAGACTCTGCTCGTTGAGCTTGCCAGAGTGCAGTTCCGAAAGTCTGCTCTCTAAGCTCTCTAAACGAGCCAAAACCGCTCTTTGTGAACTTATAATTTCTTTAATTTCACCTGAAAGCTGAGTAAGTAACTCACTTACGGTCCTCTCGAATGTCGTGGAGAATGCGTCGAATCGCTCGATCAACTTGGTTGCCCACAGCGGCATGTCGCCCTCCTCAGCTCCATTCCTACGTGCAGCTTGTCGAACCATCGTTTGGAAGAATAGTTAGGTATAGAAGGGGGGGGATGGAGGACGCAGAGACGATGAGTAGCACACGGCTACCGAGTGTCGGGATGATAGGGGAGGGGAGTTAGATGTCGAGTGACACAAAAAGAAACAAACAGACGCTACGCTACAATACTAAACTACAAATAAAGGAAAACCCCAAACACGGGACAGGGTGCCTGTTCCATGCTACCGATGTGCGCGATTATAAATACAAATAAGAGAAATGCCCCCGAGGCTTCACCTCAACAGATCCGCCGCGTGTCGCCGGATACCAGGCCGCGACACCTCTCCACTCCCGAAGTTCACAAGATCTTAAATATCCCAGATCTCAAAGCTCCAAAAGTGGCTCGTCTGAAATAATCCCAAATCCGTCTTGGATTACAATCCAGTTAAACTTCCGATCCGCTCGACCGCTAACGCAAAAGAAACATCAAAAGCGGGAGCTAACTGCCAGGCACGAGCACAATGGAAGATATACGAAAAGATTATCAATTGAAAACGAGAGCGAACAGACGCTGCAATGAGGCGGCGCCGCTATATATAGCCTTTTTGCTGGCAACGCGCAAGGCGAGAAGGGGCCCAGCGGCGATTGCGGCAAGCGTGAGAAAGTACCGTTATCGCCGCCGGATAGCGCGGCAGCAACCAGTGCTCCCGGCCTCCTACTTCTAGGAGCGCTCGCATCGCGGAGCCGCGACAATATAGACGTTTGACATATCAGCTTTTCTAACAGACCTTTGCATTGGAGTAGCTGCGTATGCCGAAGGTGTAAATGTTTATATTGCCTCTAGCTAGCATGATGAGAAGAACACCATCACAGCACGTCTGCAATTGCATTTCTTGGTGATGTTTTTTGGGCACATAAATGAAAAATCAAAGTAAGTTTTTCCAAGAGCTGCATAGTTCTTGTTGGCAGAACTCCTATTTACCTTTTAATTTAGAATGTTGTGTAATGTACGCGTTGCTTCGTACGAATCAGTCATCTAATACTAATTTTCTCTTCAAAATATGTAAATTTGTTCTCCCAGTGAGATATTGCAGCCACATTTGGTCCTCAACCTTGATAAAAAGACATCGAAAAAATCGAGAAGATGCTTTTTAACAAGGATTGTGTTCTTTGTGCATTCCAGCGGCTCAAAACTCTTTTCTACAGAAGATTTTTAGCTGACGTTTTTATGGCCTTTAGAAGATTGCGAGCTGAGGTGGGTGTGAAACCCAAATACTGGGACTTTCGACCTATTAATGAACGCAGAGTGTCGCGGCTCGCGATGCAAGCCACTCCCCGAAACAGGAGGCCGGAAGCGCTGGCTATCGCGTTACTTGGCGCGCTATCCATTTCACGCCGAGACCTTTCCTGCTGGGCGCGTTGCCAAGTCACAGGATATATAAGGGCACGTAGGCAGCGGTCTACGCCTTTTCGAGTTCCGTTCGTATTGATCGTTTTATGATATCGTTCGTGCTGGCAGCGCCTCCAGCAGCTCCCGCAGATGATCATCGGTTTCGAGCGCTGAGCTTTTGTTGTCTTCTTGGTTTTGAGGCGCAAGCTAAACATCATGGTCCATCTTGCGTAGGAAGTACACTAGAGGGAGTGGAGAGGGATCACACGTCCCGGAAGGGCTAGGGGCTTGCGGTTGACCCAGTGGAGAACCCGGAACTACTTGTTGGAGTCGATCACCATCAGCATCGGCAGCACGGGACGAGACGGCTAGTCCTGTGCCTAGTTTCCTGGGTTTGAAGTAGTAGTTTTAGTAGTTTGAATAGTTTCAGTAGTTTTAGTAGTATTAGTATGATAGTTTATTGTTGTGTATATTTGTAGATAAATCTAATCTGAACTAGTCGGTCCTTTCATTTTTCAGCGTTACGCGCTATTTATTGTGCCGTTCATACAGGTAGGGGGCAGTGGCGTACCGAGGGTGGGGGGGAGGCGCCCCCCTCCCCGAGAATGGGTCGCGAAATTTTGAAAGTTACTTAAATGTGTTGAAAAAATGTGCAGAGGACTTGTCGTAGCCAGGGTCAAGCAAGGGGTGTGGCACACGATCGCTGGTTACGACCCCCCCCCCCCGATTGCTGTCTTAATAAGACTCCCCCCCCCCTGAACTATACACTTATGATAGCATTACTTGAAGGCCCTGCTAAACATAATGGGCAACATATCCATAATTAGCATGTCAAATAACCCCTGTAGACAAAGTGTGAGCGAATTCTGAAGATCCAAGATGCTAGGCTACCTAAGGCTGGGTTCATACTGATACCCATGTTTCGGAACTGTTCCCGCACTGTGCTAACTGTTCCGGAACTGTGCTGCATGCGCTGCAACCGCCTCGCACGCATTTTGAACGGCAGAAGTTGGAGAATTTTGAGCGTTTCCAACGGTTCCTCTTCTAGATTCCTCTCATTTTGACCTTATTCTTCTACCCCACTTCTTTTATTGATCAGCAGAACTTCGAACTCGAAGAGGGGATTAAAGAATGAGCGCTTTTCTGCTCTGTGTATTCGACAAAATGTCTGTTCTTGAGCTTCTCTATTCTCGCTTCGTTTTCTTTTTGCTCAGACCTATTCCATTTGTTTCAGGAAGCCGCTGCATAGTTTCCGCAGACATCTGTCTCGAATTAGGACATGCGAAAATTCTGGAAATGCGGAAATGGGAACTTTGCTTTAGTTTTCTGAAGAATCTCGTTTTTGGGCAATCTCAGCCCCTTTCCTTTATTCATATCATTGCTTCTCCGTTCTCTCTTCTACCTCGCTCCTCCTAGTAATGAGAAAAGCTGGGAACTTGAAGCGGAGTTGAAGAGAGAACGCTGTTCTCTTTCATGTGCATGTTCCGGAAAAGTAGAGAAGAACAACGTTCATTCCTCAACTCCGCTTCAATCACAGCTTTTCTCATCACAAGGAGAAGCGGTGAAGAGAAACAAGGCCAAAATGAGAGGAATCTGAAAGAAAACTGTAAAATGGGTAGAAATTCTCCAACTTCCGCCGTTCAAAACGCGTGCGGGGCGGTTGCAGCGCATGCAGCTCAGTTCCGGAACAGTTCCAGCACAGTGTAGGAACTGTGCGGGAACAGTTTCGGAACATGGGAATCAGTATGAACCCAACTTAGGTGAAATGGTCAATTTTCAACATGGTTAACTTTGCTTCAAAGGTGAATTAGCCATCCGTTTTTGCACTCAAGGCAAAGCACTACTCCTTTTTTGTCCACCTCAGAAATCCCGCTTCAGAAGACCTCCAAACTGTGGAATTAGAAGCCAACCAAAATCTCGTTTTTTCCATTTTTCGCTTTTGATCGCTGTGTTTCACCAAATATTATCCAAAGCTAAGAAAACTAATCAGACTCAAATCACTCCTGTGAAAACTAGGAGATCTAAGCTATCGATCCATATAGGTATGGTTTGCTAAAAATGTTTTTTTGATATAGTTAATGGAGTGCGGCACACAAGGGGGTGTGCCGCACCCCATTAACTATGTCAAAAAAAAAAACAATTTTAGCGGACACTATTTATACATGAGTCGATAGCCTAAACCTCGTAGATACCATAGGACTGTCGAGCCTGATTCGTCTTCTTAGCTTTGAGTAATATTTGGTGAAAGCACAGCGATCAAAAGCGAAAAATGGAAAAAACGAGATTTTGGTTGGCTTCTAATTCTACAGTTTGGAGTCTTCTGAAGCGGGATTTCTGAGGTGGACAAAGAAGGAGTAGTGCTTCGCTTTGAGTGCAAAAAAGGATAGCTAATTCACCTTTGAAACAAAGTTAACCATGTTGGAATTTGACCATTTCACTTAGGTAGCCTAGTACCTTGAATCTTCAGAATTCGCTCACACTTTGTCTAGAGGGGTTATTTGACATGCTAATTATGGATAAGATACGAATATCATGTTATCACTATTATTAGATTACCCAACTACGACCCCCTCCCCTTTTGACCCCTCAATACGACCCCCCAGGCGTGGCGTGCCGTACCCCACGCTTGACCCTGGTCGTAGCTGACGCCACGCACCTTCATTAGAAAATTTTTTTGCCCCACCCCCCCCCCCCCCCCGAGCCGAAATCCTGGGTACGCCACTGGTAGGGATAGTCCTCGGCAGCGCCCGTTAAGGCGTCATGAACCTTGGCGGACGCGCGACATCGTAGGGGACAACGGGAGTTAGGTATAGACGCGGCGAGCACTTGCGAGAGGTGAGGTGCTCCAAAGCCGCCACACAAAGTTTCTTCGATCTTGACGACTTCTAGGTTTGGAAGGCACTGTCGCTGCATCATAGAAAATTCTTCTATCGGACAGCCCAATTCTTGAAAAATTGCCGTTTTCCTTCTTGGCTTTGAACTCGGTAGCTCAACTTAAAGTTGCTTTGAAGAAAGTAGATGCACTACAGCTTTCAGAAATTGGGGAGATTACCTGAGTGTTTTGCTTATATTTCTGACAGAACTCATATTTCCTCCCCTTATTGACACCAATGTTCACCTCTCCTACACACTTTGCTTAGTCCCTTATAAAGTTTCCTTTCCAACAAACTAGAATCCCTTAGATACTTTGCCTGTCATACTCCTTTCTCTTTTCTAATTGTACTTTCAAAATCCTTCACTCTCTGGGACTATAACCAGCTAGCTTCCTCCCGTAGGCTCGCTAATCCTCCAATAAAGCTGGGTTTTGATTTTCGAGGGAGAATAAGATGCGCAGTTGAGGGCTCGTTATACTGACTTCTTTGAGAGGAAGTTGTTTCCCAACTTCTTACGGTGCCAATGACCGGTGCATTTCGATTTTTAATATGCCTGACACCAACCGTGCTATGCTGATGTTTTGTTCTGGTAGTAAACGCTCCTAAGTTGCTTTTAGAGGACTTTTAGGTTTACCAGGAAAAAAAATAAAAATAAAAATAGGCTATGAAACAAATGACAGAATGAAATTTTGGATAAAAAGTAGTTGCTCTGACCATCTTCTTAAAGCACCAGCCAGCTGTTAATAATTGTGATTTTCATTACAATCGTTCGTGT